GTGGAAAGCCCATACACACAGCAGCAGAGCGCTGAACTCCTAGGAGGCAGCTCAAAGAATGTCATATTTCATATGATCAAAATACTGCCCCCTGAACACACAGAGATGGAGAAGGATCAATAAGTAGTTTCAGAGCTACTAGTCAATACTTAGTTCATTACACTTATCTGTGATTGTAACAAGTATGTTCGATAGTGTAAGACGTTTTATTGACCAGAAAACAATTTAAGAAATGCTCTGATTCCCTGATGAGATCATCCAACCATTAATAATTCCTCCTGAGACTAGGTACCATCCTGACCTATTCTTGCACATAGGCTGGACCCTTGCACATAGGTTGGACCCTTCCCCTTGGCCATTGGTAAATGAAAGAAAAGCAGGTATGTTATCTTTAAGGGAATGATGGGCGAAGAAAGCTGGGTTTAGCACCTAGTCATTCAATTTTCACTAATCCACTTAAAAAAAATATAAGTTTGCTACTTGCAGAGAAGTTATTTGTAGGAACAATTCATTCAGGAAGCACTACAGATTCAGTATCCAAAATAGAACCAGAAATGCTTCCAATTTCAGATGATTGATTTGGTGCTAAACACTGGAGCTCGAACTCTACACCTCTCATTCACATTTGGCTTTCTTGCTCAAAACTGGTGATGCACTACTTGACCCATAGTTACACTTCAACCTTTTAATTATTAATTGGAGATAAGAGTCTCACTGACTTTCTGCCTGGGCTGGCTTTGAACCTTGATCCTCAGATCTTAGCCTTCTGAGTAACTAGGATTGCAAGTATGTAATGGAGTCGAGTTAGAAAAACAAATTGCAGTAGCTGCATGCATAATGAAAATCCTTTGGAGAGGACCCAAGTCTAAACAGACAATTCATTTATGTTTCATACATACCATAAATATATAGGCTGAAAGTTTTTTTTTATGCCAGTCCTGGGACTTGAACTCAGGGCCTGGGCACTATCTCTGAGCCTTTGTGCTCAAGGCCAGTGTTCTACTACGTGATCCATGGCTCTACTTCCAGAGATGAGTCTCACAGATTTTCCTTTCCATGCTGACTTTGAACTGTGATTTCCCAGATCTCTGCCTCCTGAACAGCGTAGGATAACAGGCATGAGCCTAAAAGTAATTTTATTCCAGTATTCTCCATAATGTGTGCAGGAAACAAAACATCATGGTTTGTAATTTTGACTTATGGTTATCATAGTGCACTCCAAGTTTCAGATTTTGGATGGCCAAGTTTGACAAGTTAGGATTTATGTCCTTCTTTTCTCCTAATAGAGGAGCCATTTGACCCTGCCAGTTCTCAGGCCATTTATCTGTAAACTAGAGATTTACAGCATGCTATTTGTTGGCTTGTTCTGGGAATTAAGTGAGCAAATACACACAAAGCATTTATGCATATGGCCTGGCACCCATCCAACTAGAGTTGAACAAATGCCAACTCATTTTTATAGTGAGACATGCTCTCTTCTGCCTTCTACTCCAGGGTGGTCCAAGAAGGAGGGAAGAAGAGAGGCAGAGCCGGGAGGAAAGACCCAGGGGGGCCAAGGGAGGGGCAGTCGATTAGAAATGGAAGAGATGAGGGGGTGTGTTAAAAGTTTTGGTTAAAAGATGAGTTTTGCATTATCTTCTAAGCTCTGCACCTCAAGATTTTTCTCTCTAGAACTGGCAAACCTCTGTGTTCTGGTAGATTACAGAAGACAATGACTTTCCTTTTAACAAGTGTGGATGAAGGCCCTCTGTGGAGCTAACCTCCAGTCAGTGCTATTCAAAGGGTGGTTTGAGAAACTGAGTCAGTGTTTAGAAGTTGCAACAGAGTAGGATTTTTTGGCTTTATGAAAATGGGTCTTTCTGTGGTGTTCAAGCTGATCTCACACTCCTGAGCTCAATAGATCCTCCTACTCCAGCCTTTCAAGTAGCTGGGACTGCAGGCATGTGCTACCATGCCCAGCTATTAAGTAGTTTTACATAGACAGAATATAACAATAAATAGGAGTAGTTTCATATCATTGTTATGTAGCAATTTACTCTGCTAAATGGAGTTTCTCCTAATAACTCAGTTTTACAAAACTATAGTTTCATAATGGATTGGAAAATTTTAAAACTTTTTTTGCATGAATCGTTGGAGAAAATAACCTAAACTTGTGCTCTGTATTGGAGAAAGTCATTAGAAAGCTAAGGATTAACACCTGAGAAAAACTTCTTAGTATCACCTTAGTTCCTAAGAGAGAGCTTAAAGAGTCGAGAATCTATTGCTTATACCATTGAAGCTCTTATAAATCAAGAAAGTATTTCTTCCAGGCAGAAAAAGAAAACATCAAGGAAGGAGGAGCCATTTGTAAAATCCATTTTGTAAAACATCTTTGTTAGGTAGGCATATGTATCCATATGACACGAACCCCAAGATCTATTAGGCAAAAAAACCCTAAAAACGAACAGAAAAACGGTACTCAGGATATGATGCTAGGTTTTAAATAACTATGATTATGTATAGAAAAACAATGACACTAATATACAATGGAGTAACAGTTGATCCCTGTGGGAGCTAAAGGCTTACCGGACACAATTTCTGTTCCATGGTAGATATTTCATGGTGTGTCTAAAATTTCTGCCATAAGTATAGGATATATTTTGTAATATAAAGGCAAAGTATATGTTGAACATCTTCCCTTTTCTCTTTTTATATGTTTAGTAAACCGGTCAATGTGGTGGTGATTTTCCTTCCATTACTGCATCTTTTTTTTTGTATCTGAGAGAAAAGTGTGTGTGTGTGTGTGTGTGTGTGTGTGTGTGTGTGTGAATCCTGGGGCTTGAACTCAAGGCCTGGGTGCTGTCCTAAGTTTTTGTGCTTAAGGCTAGCATGCTACCACTTGAATTACAGCTCTACTCTGGCTTCTTCGGTAGTTAATTGGACTTTCCTGCCTGGGCTAGTTTTGAACCACAATCCTTAGATCTCAGCCTTTTGAGCAGCTACTGGTGTCCCACCTACTTATTTTTCAGTTATACTTGCAATTCTGGGCATACCATTTCTTTGAACAAGGACAGGTTATTTCCATGTAAGACACATGTACAGAAATATTCACTTAATTTTCCCCTATATTTCACTCTTCACCCCATCATTTCCACTGAATAGGATATTAAGAGATGGCAAATAAAAAGTTAATTTTTACTTAACCAGACTTGCTGCAAATAAACATTACCAAGATTAGGAAGCCTAAAAAGTCTCATGAGTCATTCTCCACAAAGCAATAAACTACCGTGTTTCATCTATTCTAAGACAACTATATTGTAGGACTTAGCATTGTTTTACTTATCACAAAGAAAACACTGCCAATTCAATGAAGACAGGCCATCAATCAAAGGATGAAAGCCATCTTTAGATGGACATATAAAAAATGGTGCATCTTTGAATCAATAAAATACGGTAGTATTATAAAAATTTGAAATCTTGTTCAACCTATTACTTGAAGTAAAGTCACCTAGCTTCATGTACACCCTCTACATAAACAGAAGAGTACGTAAACAGTTTCAGTAACACACCTTTAGTTTATTGACCTATGTAAAAAAATAATAGGTCTTAAAAAGTCAGAACAGTAAAAGAATATGCAAAAGAGTATTTGTTTCCAGGAGGCTATACAAATATGCAAAAAGGAATAAGTTATTTTTTTCCCCTTGTGTTTTTTTTCCTCCAAATTTTTCCCCCCAAAACCTCATTTCCAATGATACAAATGGCTAAGGACCAGTTTAACAAATCATTTTCATGGATATCTTACATGCTTTGGAATATAGATAGAAAATCTACCAAAAAAAGTTGGTCAGAAACTTCTCTATTCACAATATGAACAAGAAACTGGTACAAAAGGGAAGGGAGGAGCACCTTTCATGGAATTGTGAAGCAGAATGAAGATGACAGAGAACAATCTGGAAGAAGGAAATCTTTTGTTCTAAAAGCAAAACTTTAACATACGCTGTAGCTAATTATTCTTCCAAGAAAAGTATGAGGTAGGTTGGGCCTCATAATTCAATCTACTGTGGCTTGAAGTAATTTTTTTTTAAATGCCAATTTGTTGTTGTTGTTTTGGTTACTTGGTCATTCAGAACTACAAGTGGAATCTATTGGGCTAAATTTCCTAGAGTTCACCATTGTAAGGCACAAAATTTATCTACAATGAGGTGGCTTTGATTTTTGCTGCTGTTGTTTGGGGTCCTCTGAGGTCCTTTACCTCAAAAGACATTTTTAAACTCATTACTATAAAAACAAACTTTCTATATCAAGCCTATTGTGTGTGTGTGTGTGTGTGTGCTGACACTGGGGCTTGAACTCAGGGCCTGGGCACTGTCCTTAAGCTTTTTTTACTGAAGGCTGGTACTCTACCACTTGAGCTACAGGTCTACTTCTGGCTTTTTTTTTTTGTCAGTCATGGGGCTTGAACTCTGGGCCTGGGTGCTGTCCCTCAGCTCTTCAGCTCAAGGCGAGCGCTCTACCACTTGAGCTACAGCGCCACTTCCGGTTTTCTGGTGGTTTATTGGAGATAGGAGTCTCACGGTCTCTCCTGCCCGGGCTGGCTTTGAACCACGATCCTCAGATCTCAGCCTCCTGAGTAGCTAGGATTACAGGCGTGAGCCACCAGCGCCCGGCTTACTTCTGGCTTTTTTGATGGTTAATTGGAGTTCAGAGTCTCATCAACTTTCATGTTCGGTTTGGCTTCGAACCTCGATCTTTGGACATCTCAGCCTCCTGTGTAACAGGCATTACAAGTGTGAGTCACCAGTGCCTGACTAGCCAATTGCTTTAAATGGCAAGCGAGGTGGAGAATTACCAGCCTGAATAGTTGTTCATCATGCAAGCAACAGAGAAAGAAAACAGCTCAGTGACCTTGTACCTTAGAGAGATCTTGGAGCAGAGTTTGTCAATTAATTATTCAGTGGGCTGTTTCGTTTTCCCATTCAGTTACCATAAAGTTATATTACAGAATGCTACAGGACCAAGCCTTGTCTAGAACCCATCTTACACTATTTATTTTTTTTTAATCATCTTTGTCATATTCTAAAAACATTTACACTCATTCAGAACTTCATGAAAATCCAAACTTCTCTTCAAGTAATTTTCCAATACTGTCTAAATGGTCACATCTGTGCAGAAACATCACTGTGCTGTCCTTGGTCAGTTCAACAATTCAAACCTTGTTGGAGCTCAATATGGGAGCTTCTCACCTTCCTTTCTTCACCTCTCAGTTGTGCTCTGAACTCTCCCCTGTCGTCTTGTTCAGTGGGACCAATTCCCTGAACAAAATGTTCACAGTTTTGAAGTTTGCCTTCAGCCATACTGATTCCCTTGCAAAGTGTTTGCTCTGGAGAAAGGTTTCCTGCTGAGTCCTCTCTTGGCAATGGTTCCGTGTGGGGTCAGATCTTGATGGTAGGTTGGGAAGGCAGTCCTCACTCAGGGCCAGTGTGGGACTTAGCGTGTGGTTCACTTCTGGGGCCATGTGAGTCTCCTCTTCACACCTTGATACGTTCAGGGTTCTAAAGCCAACAGCCTTCTGGGAAGTCAGATCCCCTGTACAAGGCACACCAGTGTGGGAATGCAGTGTTTGGTCACGGGGGTCCCATTGCATTCAGACTAATGTTCCAGGCTTTGAGTCTTCGTGCCAGAAGAGCCTCTGCTCACTACTCTCCAGGCTGTCTTCCAACTGGTTTCCATCTGTACTGTCCAGTTGACTGGCCTCTGCATATTGTCTGGGGAAGGGAAACAGACAAGTTATTCCTTGTGGTCATTCTTTATTACTTCACTACAAAGACTACTACATTCAAAGAGGTTAGTAGAAAGCACTGTTAAGAACAATTTTCCAAGCCTTAGAGATGGGGCTAAATGACTGCATGCTCTTTCCTTGTCCCCCAACGTTCAACGGGCCTAGAGAGCGACTCAGGGGAGTGGGGGCTGACCTTTTTGTTTAATTCAACATTTACCTCTGATAGGAGCCTACACTGTATTAAGTTACATGTTAACTTGTTTCTTTTTTTTTTTTCTGGTCTTGAAGAATAACCAAATGACTTCTGTGAAAAGATTATGGGTTACAGTATGACTATCCTATAAGATATTAACCAGTTTGGTACCTAACTTAGTATTCCAGCATTTTCTTTTTCCTTGTCTGGAATTCTCTTTTAAATCAATATAACCAAACTGCTAGCTCCTTATTAGTATATGCACTCCATATTTTGACACAGCCTTTTTAAATTTGAGAGCCTTGTAAAAAGATGTGTGGGTTTTTTTGTTTTGTTTTGTTTTGACCAGTTTGAGCCACAGTGTCACTTTGGTTTTCAGATGGTTAGCTGAAGAGTCTCATGGACTTTCATGCCTGGGGTGGGCTTTGAATCATGATCCTCAGATCTCAGCCTCCTGAGTAGGTGGGATTACAGATGTGAGCCACTGGTGCCCAGCAAGATGTAGTCTTTTGACTGCATGCTAAGCATTCTTCAAAGGAAGGGAATACATATATACATACATGCTTTCCTTAGGGAGAAGGGGAAGGGTGTAAAGACAGCACAGGCACCTTGGGACCTATGTGGTATCCCAAGGGCTTTCAGGTAAAGTATACACAGGCTGTGGCATCACAGTTAAAAATAGCAGGCATATTTGGACTGTCTATTCAAATGAGCACAGCCTGTTATACAAACCATTCTGATAAACCAAACTGCATTATTATATATATATATATTTATATTTATTATAACTATAGGTTAAAGTAGGTTAGATAGTTAGTAGATTTCTGTTTTAAACTTCAAAATCTTCTAGTAAAGTGATTAAAAAGGTCTTTGGGAGAAAAGCTTAGTTAATAAATACTACATTACTCCAGGGTATTTAGCATTTACATGGGACTCAAAAGCAAAGGCAGATTGCCTTACTTCACAATGCATGTCAGAGCAAGCAAACTCGTGCTATGCAAGAAGCAACACACGAATCTGATGACTGTACTTACTACAGCTGGCTACACTTAGCAAAAGAGAATTTAAAACTGATCTCATTTCTGGAGACACAACCATTCTCCTGGTCAGAAGCCCCGGGTTGTGCCTAATAGCCGGTAGAGTTAGAAGGGAAGAGGAAAGGGAAAGGGAAACAGGAAGTGAAAGAAAAAAGTTATCTGAGAATAGATGTAGCAGAGCCAAGAATCCCACTGTATGATGTAGCAACATAAGAGACTTCAGCATTTCTACTTTGGGAAAGTTCATTACAATAGAAAATTGACCAATGGTACTGCTTTACATTTGTAGCTTCACTGAGATACTTTGGAAAAGAGGATTTCTCTATGATATACACATACTTTAGTTAATACAAATAAACTGACGTGTAGCTAAGGATTTAACATCTTTAGCTCAAGGGAGAGGTTTTTTATCTGTATCCTAAAACTTACTTTGTCTCTCCTTTAAAAAAATAATGATTATATAAATAAAGTGGAAGCAATTTTTGAGAGAATTTATTAAGATTTATAAGTGACTAAGTCTAGTTGTTAATAAATTAAGTTGAAATGACCAGATTATATCATAATTAAATGAAATCAATGGACTGTATACCCTGTGGCTGGGACAAACCTTCTGAAAGCAAAAACTTAAAGCAGTCCACTTTGCAACTTCACCCACTGACTACCTTTAGAATGTATTCTAGGTAAATAATCTGGAATTCAGACAAATATTTGGCATAAAGATGTTCATAGTAGCATTACTGACAGCTTTAAAAAATGAAAAAAGAAGGAAAACCTGAACTCTATCAGGTGTTCACACCTGGGGGAGCTTTTATATGAAGTATGGTCTTTTTTATTAATTATTCGTATAAAGTAAGGTCTAAAGAGTAAAAAACAAACCCTACAGAGCAATCTATTGTTATGATATTAAAATTTAAAAACAGGATGTAGATACTATATAAGGTATAAAACTTGTATCTACAATATCATTATGACCATGTTAAAAATGCAAACAGACAGCAGGGCTCTGGTGGCTCACACCAGTAATCCTAGCTACTTAAGGAGGCCCAGATCTGAAGATTGAGACAAATATAAGAGATTATTATCTCCAACTAACCAGTCAAATGATGGATGAGGAGGTGTGGCTCAAGTGGTCAAGTGCCAACCTTGAGTATAAAAAGCCAAGTGAGAATGCAAAGCTCTGAGTTCAAGGCCCACTGCTAGTGTGTGTGTGTGTGTGTGTGTGTGTGCGCGCGCACATGCACACGTGTGCACACACACACACAAAAGGATACAGACAAATGGGAGGAGAAATTTGAAGCATTAATAGTTGCTATCTCTGGAGGAATTATGGCTTCCCTGTTATTTTATGTATTTGTTATTTTCCAAATGTTCAACCATCAGACCATGAGCATGTGCACACACGTGTGCACACTAGGGATCTTTAAGGAACTTCTAATTTCCTGCACAAGTTCCCTCTGAAATCAGTCTATCAAGTTATCTTCAACTGCCTTAAGTACATAGGTAACCAGATTTTCTCTTAAAAAAAAAAATGTTGAGCACTTCCTGAGTCTAATGAGAGCAGTGATAAAAGACCAGAGGCATCTTATGGACTGAGGCAACAAAAGGTAAAGGAAAACTGCACCCACATAACGTTTGCAAATGCACTGCGTGAAGGGATTAAAACTACTCAAAAGATCCAGTGCAGAGTTGGGGGCCAGTCATTTGGGCTCTTTTCTAATCTCATTTTCAAGCATTATTTACACAAGTCCAAACCATCTGACAATGTGAAGTGTATTTTCACTCCAAGTCTATTTTGAGAACACCCTTTGTGGAGTTGAGACAATTGGCTTAATATTTCCAGCCAAGAAAAACTCCCACTGAATGTGAGGAATGAAAACAAGGCTTTGGGGGAAATTGCAGACTTCAAATTTGCTTGTAACCCTGCAGGCTTTAAGGACAGCTAATCTAACTGTTAACCTTTTCAACTCACCAGCCTAGACACCTGTACCTTTGCAAGTCTCTTCTACTACCTGAAGCAGTGATCTGGTTCCAACAAGTCACATTTAGATTGGCCTAAAAGAATACAAGGGTGCTTTACTTCTTGGCACCATGGGTATGGATTGTATTTTGTGAGAAAGGAAGAATGACCTCATGGAACTTAATTCCACCTTTGCCTTAAGAAGAACTGTGTGTTGGGGGGTGGGGGGGATGTTGTAAGTTAAACATTGCCCTCTAACACATTATTCCTGTGCATTTCCTGTACAGTTTACAAAGAACTACTTATAAAGACAAAAGGGACAGCTGGCTGAGTCTGTTGCTTCTTAGAGAACACAAGGTCAGACACAGAAGGTAGCACATGGCTGAAATGCAGCCTACCAACTGTCCCTGAGGAGCCTTGGAATGAACAGCCTTGCTAGAATAGACGTTTTTTTTTCTACAAGGTTGCAAGAAAAAAAAAAAAAGACTTAAATAGACATTATCAATAATACTGTTTCAAGTACTGTCTCAAAAAGAAGAAAGGAAACACACACAGAAAAGCCCTTTGGAGCCAGAATTTAATAATGCAGACTCTGAAAACAGTGGAATCTGAATGCACTAGATGAAACTTTTTCTTTAAGGTCATTCTATTTTGGGCTTTGCTGGATTTATTGCTGTCTCTCACTGTTTAGCTTTGACTTCACAGAGTAGAAACAGCCTGAACTAACATGTAGATGAAGGAGTATGGACATTTTCCAATGAAATTTATTTACCAAACCAGGAGGCAACTGAGTTTGGCGTGAAGATTGTAGTTTGTCAACCCCTGAGCTAGACCGTTTAACATTTGGAATGCAAGGTAGGGTTTCTGAATTTTTGCTTAGAATTTGAGCACTGCCTTCTCACCTGCTTGGAGAGGGTAAAGGATTATACATATTGCTGTAGCAGCCGGTGTAAGGAGAATGTGCTGGAGACTCATATTCAGACAGCCCTATAGTTAACTGTGTCCTCCAGTTCCCAGAAGCATTTGTAGAAGACACTAGAAATAAACATGGGAAGGAAAAACAAAATTAGTTGAAATACCCAGAGTGAAAACTGTTCAGGTCATTTAGATATGCATTATAATCAGCTGTGTGTAGAGTAACTATTGAAGAGACCAGGCTTGATTTTCTTGTTTGCTGGTGCCGGGGACAGAATTTAGGCTTTACCTACCCCCCTGCTTAGCACTGAGCTACATTCCCCGCCAAGCTAGGTTTTAGAATCCAGAGAGAGCTTAGTTCGTCCAGTTTGGTAACTTAATGGCCCAGTGAGCTTGGGCAGATAAGTAGCCAAAGGCAACACTGGGACTGGAGCCCTGGCTCAAATGATAAAGCATCTGCCTAGCAAGCAGAAAGCAAAGCCCCATACCACCAAAACCAACTCACCAGCCAACAACAAAAACTCCAAAACTACCAAAGGCAACAGGGGTCCCTAGCAAGATTAAGGCTTTTTTTCCCCCCTTTGTCTTAAAAACAAATGGGGTGGGGCAGGGAGAAGCAACTCAGGAAGAAGAGACTTTGTTTTTTAGAAGGGCAGAACTGGAGCCGGGTTAGGGCAGAACTTAGGGTGCCCAAGTCTGGTGTTTGCTGTCCCCGTAAAACCAGTCCTGCTCCATGCTTGGGACACACCGATGACAACAATGCCTTAACAGTTGTCCAAGAGCCACAAAACCAGCTCTGTTGCCAATCCTTCCTTCTTTGCTCTAGTTCCTGTTTCTGGCCACCAAAGCCCCTGTGAGCACCAAAGGACACAGACTTCAAAACTCAGCTGTGGTCCCACGTGCATGTGTTGTTTTGTGAACAGATGGTGGACCCTGGCTGAGCTCCCAACAGCATGTCTGAGCGCTGACTGGAGGCTCTGAGGCTGGGTAGGTAGAATCAGAGCTGGGGCAGAATAGCCACTCAACCACTTTCTAGTTGGGGCAGGGTCATTTGACTTCTCTGGGCCAGAGACACTTGGGCTGCAAAATGAGGATGATAACATGTTTCAGGATGGCACTCACCCTACAGAACTGTCGCATACCTGAGGGAGAACATATTAAGTACAAAAGATATGATATGAAGCACAGCCGGCTGCTGATCGCCAGTGGTTGTCACCACTGCTAAAACTGAGTCACCAGGAAAGCCCTCGGGTGACAGGGAGGGACAACAGAAACTTTTGACTAAACTGACACATAACCGGAAATGCAACTCTCCAGGAGAATGAGGTGTGTCTGTTGTAGTACATTTCTGTGGCTGCTAAATGGAAGCAAGAATGAGGAACATTCCAGAGAGGATTTCTGGGAGTACCAATTCCATCCACCTAACGCTTGACAAAAAAGATGTACTGTGTCTATGGAACTAAATCGTGGTGGAGTCAACAGAGCTTTGGACAGGCCTAAACCAGAAGCATGAACTGCATCTTCACTTTGGGGGGGAGGGCGGGGGGGAGGGGGACTAGACATAAGAGTCCCATGGCCTTTTCTGCCCCGGCTGGCTTTGAACCATGATCCTCAGATCCCAGCCTCTTGAGTAGCTAGGATTACAGGCGTGAACCACCAGTACGCAGCTTCCATCTTTACTCTTGTCCCACACACTCAGTCAACAGCCAGTGAAGCTAAAGACTGAGTTACACCTGCTTCTCCCAGGACATTTCCCCAGCCCCAGGCCCATGCCACAACCACTACCAACAGGCACTTCTGCCCTTCTGTTTGTTCTGCAAAGAAATGTTCAGACAATACCCTGAACTTTAAGAGGAAGAAAGGTGTTCTCTACATGTGCCATAAATAACAAGAAATAATGACAAGAGCCTTTTATGTGTCAGATACGGGCATCGATGAGACAGGTTGAGAGGAAGTCCAAAGTCTTCCATAAACAGGAGAGAACTTGAACCCAAACAGAATCTCCATGGCAATAATGCTATCAACACACTTCTGAAATGTTCACAGGTACAGGTCATGACTCAGGAATTCCCACACTGTGTCTCTCTAAGGTGTTAAGGGAGGAGGCAGGACTCACGAATTCAGGTTTCCATGGGGTTTGACAATTTCTTAAGAGTTTGAAAGTTGGGCTGGGAATGCAGCTTAATGGTAGAGTGCTTGCTTAGTATGTATGTATGAAGCCCTGGGTTCGATTCCTCAGTACCACATACACAGGAAAAAGCTGGAAGTGGTGATTTGACTCAAGTGGTAGAGTACTAGCTTTGAGCAAAAGAAGTTCAGGGACAGTGCCCAGGCCCTGAGTTCAAGCCCCATGACTGGCCAAAAAAAGAAAAAGAAAAGAGAGTTTGAAACTTGCTGAGTTTTCATATATTCCTCTGGCTGCTGACAAGATGCTTCCAAGTACTGAGCACTCGGCTTCATGGGCACCCTTGTTCAATTGCTGAATTCATGAAGACCTAAGAAGGCTCCTTCCCAGACCCCCATGTCTTAAGTACTTAAGATAGGTCTGGTACGCAGTGAGTCCTCTCCAGATGGCCAATCTCACCAGAAAGGTGATAAGAGAAAGTATCTTCTCTAATCAAAATTCCTCATTGATCTTGTGTGTATGTGTGTGGTTATGGAGAGCAAACCTAAGGCTTCAAGCATGCTAAGTAAGTGTGTACCACTGAACTAATTCCCCAGTATCCCAATTGCTTAAATCATTCACATATATAGATCAATAGATATGTGTATATGTATGTGTGTATGTGTATATAATTAAGATTTGCAAAGTGCTTAGGAAAATACTTAATTAATGTCAATGCCTATCAGACTTACTAAAGCTTGATTTAGATACCTCAGTAGTCAAAACAATGCTTGATCAAATCTTGTCCAGCAATGGGAATACTGTATATAATTCTATTTTTTTTCCCTGCTTGCCTGTTGGATTTCCTTTATTCTTTCAAAAATGCCACAGCTCAGTGACCTAAATACATTTTAAGAGAGATGTGGTTACCAGCATAAGACCTAGCAGCCCCCCAATTTGTGAAAAGCCCTAACAGGACAGCACAAATAAGACTAGGTGTTCCACAAATCCACGATTGGCCTTGAATCTCCCACTTGCTCCATCAGGCACGTGCTCTAGAAGCCTGCAGAGACGTTTTCAGGTTGGCAGTTCTTACCGAGGTTCCAATGCATGGTTGGCACTGCTAATGAAAGGACCCAGGAAGATCCAATGGGGGAGGAGGGGGAGGAGGACGATGCACACCGATTGGCCCCAGGGTGTCATGTGCTTACCTGAAGAGTAAGAGGATGCTCGGCTGCTTGGAGAACAGGGCACCTGCAGCCCGGCAAACCCCAGGCATCTCTGTGAACCCCTGTCTGAGTCAAAGCTCGTCTGTGGGCTGTGCCCCTGATCCTTCTGCCCCGAGGCCCGCTGGTACCAGCCCCGCAGGTGCTCAGCGACTAAGGCCTTGTGGATGTTTTTGGTGATGTGCTCCGATTTCACGGCAGTCTTCCTCGGCAGCCGGAGAGTTGCATATGGGTTATGGGGCACGTGGTCCACCTCGTCTTCATGGAAAGATCTGCTGTAGTCCCTCTGCCGGTCATATCCATAGTGGGCCACGGATCGGTAGGACGGGTTGACAGTGTACTGTCCCTCGGTGTCATTCTCATAGACATAGCCACCACTGTAATAAAGGTCGCACTCTGCATAGGGCGCATATCCAGAAATATAGTAACTAGAAGACGGTGGCTCCTGACTCTTAGAGTAGACGCCATTCCTCATACTGTCCTTTGGGGCCAGGTTGGGCATGCTTCCTGAATTTGAAGTTGAGGCATTGTGCTTCTTTGACCTTCTCCGCCCCCTGGCACGCGTATCCAGCGTCTGGGTGGTGTAGTAGGGGCCGGTGGCAGGTGTCACACAGTAGTACTCAGTGCTTGACTGGCTGGTGTAGGAAGACCCATCATCGAGGATCTCTGTGCTGCTGCTTCTTTGGGATTTGGAAAGGGAGAAGAATGGCTTATCGTTGTCCATCTCGGAGAGCAGGTGGGACTGGGACTCCAGACTTCCACTCCGCTGGCGGCAGTGCTGAGCTGAAGATTCAGGTCTGAAAGAGAAGGGCAAATGTGTACAATAAGAGAAGGAAAGAAAGCCGGGCACCAGTAGCTCATGCCTGTCATCCTAGCTACTCAGGAGACTGAGGTCTGAGGATCACGGTTCATAGCCAGCCTGGGCAGGGAAGTCCAGTGAGACTCTTATTTCTAATGAGCCACCAGAAAACTGGAAATGGTGCTGGGGCTCAAAGTGGTAGAGCACTAGTCTTGAGCAAAAGAGCTCAGGGACAGAGCCCAGGCCCTGAGTTCAAGCCCTAGGACTGGAGAACAGAAAGAGAGAAAGAAAGAAAAGAAAAATGAGAGAAGGGAGAAAATAGAACATTACACTGATTGATTTCAGAGCTCCCAAATTACAACGGGTGTTTTGGGGTTCCAAGATTGACTATAGGATAGAATCTATTTGTTCAGATAACCCACTGGTCTGAAGCTCATTAGCATGGGTAAATGAGAAAGGGATCAGGTTCTGCCAAATCATTCCTTGAGGGTATGGCAGATAGAAGCGATGACACACAACCCATCTACAGCCGGAGGACACTCCACGTATCTTTGGGGAGGAGGGGATCTTTGCTCTCATAAGTTAGGAGATATAGTAGGCCAGGACGAGGTGGCATTGCATGATAGAGCAGACCCTGGCCTTGAAGGCAGAGGCTTCCTCACATTGAGTTATGACACGGCCATTTCCAAGCTGTATATGCTTGGGTGAGATACTTAACCTCTGTGACTCTTGCTTCTGTCTTCGTAATAGTAGACGAAAACTGTACCTGATACCCTCATTTCAATTAGGCTTATTGGTGGCACTAAATAATCTAGTGTGCATAAAACATTTAACACAGCTCCCGTCCCGACTTCAGAATGCTACCACAATTAGCTTCACCCTCACCATCGAATAATGGGTAATATCTGGTTGGGGAGCTGATAGGAAAAATCGGCTATCCACCTGAATCAATCAAGTTCCTTTCCTTTGCTGACAGACTGGAAACGAAGTAGAAGTTGTAGAAGCACGCAACTAAGGCTCTACGGTAGGAAGTCACTTAAAATGATGGGAAAGCACAGCAAAGCAAGACAAACACTCAAAAGCCAAACGAACATGGCCAACACCATGGGAACAAGGTTCTTACTCCAAGTGGCTGCTGCTGTAGGCGTTTCGAGTAAGGACTGGTGTAGTGGGCATGCTCCGCCCGCCCTGCGGCCGCCTCTCCAAGGTTTTGTAAGGGCTGCTGTGTGTCGACAGCAGCTCTCTGGGATGATTTAAAAGAGAAATCAAGTAAGGATGAGCTTCTCAACACCTCCGGCAGAGTTATCATGGGCACCTACTGGAAAGCAGGTGCTTGGTGGTTAACGCCTGTCATCCTAGCTACTCATGAAGCTGAGATCTGAGGACTGAGGTTCAAAGCCAGCCCTGGTAGATAAATCTGTGAGACTCTTATCTCTAATTCACTCATAAAAAACTGGAAGTGAAGCTGTGGCCCAAGTGATCAGTCTTGATTAAAAAAAAAAAAAAAAGCCAAGCAAAAAATGGGAGGCCCTGAGTTCAAGACCCTGAACTGGGTCTTGAACAAACAAACAAACAAACCACCTACTGGAAGCTGATGGAAGGAAGTACAGGAGAAGGGTGGGAAGAGTTTCTCTGTAGGTTAATATTCTGGTAGATCCCAGATGAGTTTTAGAGGAAAACCATGTGGTCTGATTCTCTGGGTCATAAATAAGAATTGAAAGCTCTTTTTTTTTTTTTTTTGGTAAGTCATGGGGCTTGAACTCTGGGCCTGAGCTCTGCAGCTCAAGACAAACGCTCTACATCTTGAGCTGTAGCACCACTTCCAGTTTTCTGGTGGTTAATGGGAGGTAAGAGTCTCACAGACGTTCCTGCTCTGGCTGACTTTGAACCAAGGTCCTCAGATCTCAGCCTCCTGAGTAGCTAGGATTACAGGTGTGAGCCACCAGTGCCTGGCTGAAACTCTTTTAAAATAGAGTACACAGAGAAAAATCGACCAAAAATAACTTGAGTTCGGCAAGTCCTTTCTCTGTGAGTGGTCTAAGAGTTGGTATTTTTGGCTTGGTGGCCTAGGAAGTCTCTGTAGAGATTTCGTACTCTGTCCTTATAATGCAACAGCAGCCCCAGAGAAGAGGTAAATGAATGTGTGTGGCTGTATTCCAATACAACTTTGTGGGCAGGGAAATGACAACTTTATGTAATTTTCATACCACCAAATATTATTGTCCTTCATACAACTACTTAAAACATTCCATACACAAAAACAAAAGAGAAGGAAAATGGACAGTAGGATAATCTGGACCATGGCTGTGATCCGCTGACCCCTGGATTAGATGGCAACATCCTTAAACTGCTTTGGCCACTTCCTAGCACAGAGAGAACTCAATTTGAGATTCGTATTTTATCAAATTAAAAATGACTTTAAGCTGAGCATCATAAACTCATGTCTTTAATCCTAGCCTGGGCAGAAAAAAAAATCTACTAGACTCCATGTCTCAAGTAACTAGCAAAAGCTGAACTGAAGGCATGGTTCAAGTGGTAGAGTACCTTACAGCAGGGAAGCAATATGCAAGCAAGCATGAGGCCCTGAGTTTAAACCCCAGTGATAAAGGGGAACAAAAGGACTTTTAAAGGGACTGGGGTATCATCCAGTCATAGAGTACAAGCTCCCCATGCACCATGCACCTAGCTTCAAATGTCAGTATGCAGCCCTGTAGTTTAGGATGACAGGCATGTGCCACCATGCCTAGCCATTGCTCAGGGTGGAGTCTCCAAAACTTCCCCTGCCCCCAGGCTGGCCTCAAACCACACTCCTCAGATCACTGCCTCCCAAGCAGCTAGGATTACAGAATTGAACGATGTTTGTTTTTGATATTTAAATGTCATTTTATTTCATGACTTCATGGGTACTGTTGGTCTGAATGTTTTCATTAAGCAATATAAGCATGTGGTTACCTCATCTTGGATTCTAATGTCTTTTTTTTTTTTTTTTTTTGGTTGGTTATAGGGCCTGAACTCTGGGCCTGGGCGCTGTCCCTCAGCTCTTCAGCTCAAGGCTAGCACTCTACCACTTGAGCCACAGCGCCACTTCCAGCTTTCTCTGCTTATGTGGTGCTGAGGAATTGAACCCAGGGCCTCATGCATGCAAGGCAAGCACTCTCCCACTGAGCCACCTTCCCAGCCCCAGGATTCTAATATCTTAAAAGAATAGTTACTCATGCAGCCAAAGTCAGAGAACTACTCTGGTCTGTTTCCTGGTCAAACCCTAGTCTCATTACTCTGATTAAGATTTACCTGAGACAGGTGAGAACATAAAAGTTGTATTCTCTTATTTTACAGATTCTCAAGTGAGTTTAAGCCCAAGATTGGGGCACAGGAGTCAGACCTAGCTTTTAGGTTGGCAAAGTTAGGTAGTTAGTGATCATTTACTTATAGCAATGATTGTGGAACTGACCTTTGGATGTGATAGCTATTATAGTTTAGACTAGAAGGTCCCTCATAGGCCTTTGTGGATATAAGGTTTGGTCACCAAGCCCCCATATGTGGTGGAACCTTTAGGGGGAAGGAAGTTAGCTCATTGGGGTGTGTCCAATGGTGATATGGAGACCCAGCCCCTTCTCGTCTTTCTCTTTACTTCTTAACTATCTATTATGAAGTGAGAAGCTTTTTCCCATCATGTCTTCCTTCCCTGACCTTCGGCCTCAAGTAAGAGGGCCAAGTAATCATGGACTGAAACTGTGAGTCCAAATAAACATTCCCTACTTATAAATTGTTCATTTCAGGTATTTTCTTGTAGTAGCAGGGGGCTGACTAACATAATACCCAAACTAGATGAGATGGTTAATATCGCTATAACTTAATATAAAACAGACTTTGAAAAGAACCAACATTTTTCCTTTTTTTGTCTTCTTTTTTTGCTGGTTGTGGAGCCTGAACTCTGGGCCTGGGCGCTGTCCCTCAGCTATTCAGCTCAAGGCTAGCACTCTACCACTTGAGCCACAGTGCCACTTCCAGCTTTTTCTGCTTATGTGGTGCTGAGGAATCGAACCCAGGGCCTCATGCATGCAAGGCAAGCACTCTACCACTAAGCCACCTTCCCAGCCCCCAACATTTTTCTAAAAAGACCTTTTAAGAAGCACTTCTCCTTGCTGTCAACAACAATGAATGAGTTTCGAAGCCTCAGTTTTATAGGAAAACAACCTTTTCTGAAAAGGTTAAATAAAAGCAACAACAAAGAAAGCAAAACACATAACACCAGTGTGGAGGAAAGATTTCTTGGCTACAAGGCATTAATTAACCTACTGTGATAACCTCTCACCTGGAATGCCTGGGGTCCACAAACTGATCATGGATAGACGACTTTCTGAAATGGATTCTCTCAATACCAAGAGACTTGGGCGGAAGAATTCTTGGAGAATGAGGTACTGAACTTGGTCGCTGCCCAGCAAGAGTGAAGGTGTCATTGGCTAAGTGAAGTAAATGGATGAATGAATGAATTAAGTAGGCAAATAATACCAGACCAACACTTCTAAACTAGAAATTGAATTCCTATCTGATGGACAAGAGAAATCACTAAGTATACTTCTAGGGTCTCAATGAACTTTGGCCACTTCAACAGATGGTACTCTGAGCAAGGAAATCACTCAGGTGGAAAAGGAATGCTCCACCTTTAACGAGTTGTACAAAGGCCCAGGAAATGGGCCAGATTCTTTTAATTCAGCTTGAACATTCTTTTTTGTGTGTGATAGCACCAGTGCCTGGGTGCTATCCCTTAGCATTTTCACTCAGGGCTGGTGCTCTATCATTTGACTCACATCTCCACTTTTGGCTTTTTCATGATTAATTGGAGGTAAGAGCCTGACAATCTTCCTACCCTGTCTGGCTTTAAACTATAACCCTCAGATCTCATCCTCCTGAAGCTAGGATTACCACCAATGCCCAGCTACCTTTAACATTCTTTAAGGCTCTGTGGCCAACAGGTTGTCTTTGTCAGTGAACATGATGAGCAATGCATCAGTGGAGACTTGCTATGTCTACCACTGATATTTTCATTTTCAAAGAGGAATGGTATGTATGACCACACTTCAGCTCAAAGGAAGAATCTTCAAGTGGTGGAATGTTATGCACCATAAAACTTAGGGGAAGATTAAGCAGCTGGGGATGAGTTGAGGGTAATGACTTCCCAGAATCCTTCAGATCACTCAGACAGATAGTCAATCACCTGATTAAGTGTATAGGAGCAATCCTCTGGGAAACAGTAATAGTCAAAGAAGACACTAGAATTTTCTAGTTTGGTCACTGGACTCCTGAAATATGAAATGTCACCACTGGAAAAACTAGGTGAGGCTGGTAGCTCACCTAGGTGAGCTAGGTAAGGACTCTGAATGATACATACCATTCTTCATTCAAATTAAAAAGTTATCTCACCAGGCAGAGTGACTCATACCTATAATCCTAGCTGTGCCAGGAAGCTGGCACCTGAGATCAAGTTCAAAGCCAGCTGGGCAGGAAAGTTTGTGTGACTCTTACCTCCAATTAACTACCAAAAAATTGGAAGTAGAGATATGGATCAAGTGATAGAGAGCCAGCCTTGAGTGCAAAAGCTAAGGGATAGTACCTAGTTTAAGCCCCAATACTAGCACGTGCATGGACACACGCACTGAGGTATTTTATTAGTTCAGAATATGTAAAGTTTTCAAAGAAAAATGGAGCCACTTACGATCATCATAGATGGCAGAATCAGACAAGGAGCTGCTCTCTGACGGGATGACATCTTCTGAGGATAAAAATAACGGCTTTTAGCACAACTGCACATTTACATAACCAGAGTGAACTCCATGATGCGTTTTTCAATAGCATGCATTTTATTTTCATTTAGATACATATGGCTAATAAAAGCACATTAATAATTAACTGTTCTAAGAACTGACTCATTTACTACTGAAGACACAAGAATCTTGTGTTTCAGAGCATGTGTCTAGCAGCCGTGAGGTGCTGAGTTTATTCCACAGTACCACAAACATGCACTCTCTTCAAAATTATCTGTGCATTGTAAAGACATCCTATGCATTACATTCATCTCTCAATATTTGTGGGAGTCTGGTTCCAGGGCTGCCCAAAGACACCCAAATCTAAGAATGTTCAAGTCCCTTACATACAATAACACATGTTCTTCAATGCTTTAAAATACCTCTAGATTACTTTTAATACCCTCCAATGCGAAGACTAAATACTCATGATATTGCATTGTTTAGGAAATAATGACAAAAAAAAAAGGCCTATATATGCAGAGCTTTTTATTCTGAATATGTTTGATCTGAGGTTGGTTGAATCTGAAATATGGTACTTGAAATACAAAGTATTGATGGTATTTCTTAAAACAGACCAGGTATCCAGAAAATTTTAAACTACTTTTTAAAAATACTTCCTCCATATTGAAAGAAAACTTTACCTCCTACTCTTACTGCTTATAACTAACAAATTGGAAAAAAAATCACGCCATTCTGGTCATAAATGATAAACGTTATATGAATTATATCTCAACTGTCTTTAGAGAAACTATTGTTAGTACTACTTCTTCCTTGACTCTTCTCTATAGAAAAGGGCTTTCCCTTCCCTTCCCTTTTTTTGCTCCTCTGCTCCCTTCCCAATCCTTCCCCTCCTTTCCCCTCTCCTCTTTTTCTGTTTTCTACCAGTCCTGGGGTTTGAATGCGGAGCCTAGATCTTACTTAGTATGTTTGCTAGGCTTGTATTCTACCACTTGAAACATGCCTCCGGTCCAACTTTTTGTTGATTTTTTGGAGTTAGAAGTCTAGTAGACTTTTCTGCTCAGGCTGACTTTGAACTATGACCTTCCAGATCTCAACCTCCTGAGTAGCTAGGATTACAGCTGTGAGCTCTGTGCCTTTTCTTACTAAAGTGTAGGTACTTGGTGGCTTTGTGAGCCTTCTAATTAGAACCGTGTTCCTCAACAGTGGTACTGTCAATCTTTTGGACTGGGTAATTCTTTGTCGTGGGAAGTTGTTTTTGCACTTCAGGATCTCCACCTCCACTAACTCCACCCCCACCCCCACCATCAATATTTTTCTTTTCTTCTTCTTCTTCTTTTTTTTTTCAGTATTGGGGATTGAACCTGGGGCTGTATGGATGCCTTGGAAGCACTTTACCATTTGAGTTATATCCCAGCCCACCAATGGCAACTCTGACAACCCCAAATGCCTATAAATATTGTTAAGATATTCCTGGTGGCTCTCCCTAATTGAGAACTACTGAACAGAGAGAAGTGGTTTCAAATTCTGGCACTGCCATTTATCAACTGTGAAACCATGGAAACATGCCTTCACATTTCTTAGCATCATTTGACATACTTTAAGATAGCGATATCAGTGGTACAAAATACTGAGTTAAACCATTTAATGAAACCACCAGGTAAAGATTTTAGCCTAGGGGCTGAGAAGGTGGCTCAGTGGTAGAGCGCTTGCCTTGCATGCATGAGGCCCTGGGTTCCATTCCTCAGCACTACATAAGCAGAAAAAAAAAGCCGGAAGTGGTGCTATGGCTCAAGTGGTAGAGTGCTAGCCTTGAGCTGAAGAGCTGAGGGATAGCGCCCAGGCCCAGAGTTCAGACCCCATGACCGGACCCAAAAAAAAAAAAAAAAAAAGAAAAAGATTTTAGCCTAGCTCCTAGCACATGCTAAATGTTCAATAAATGTCAGTTACACATCTTACTTTTACTATTCATCCTTGTGTGCAACCATCATGCTCTGAGTATTGCTGGTGCCCATTGACTGTTCCATAATGTATTTGGTAAGAAGAGACTTCTCAGATATGTGGATATGCTTTTGCAAATTGTTCCATGCTCAGTGTTGGGTGTTTTGGCAAAAAGGTTCTAGACAAAGACGGCACCTCAATGTAAGCTTCGAAGCCATGAAGAGAGAACTCATGCCATCCAACCTCAAATGCTAGTCTTTATCACAGCAGGCTCATTCTCTCTTAATTAGACATACAATGTAGCCTGACGGCAACGTGCCAGTCCAGTCAGCTGTCAAACACACTTTAAAAACAATCAACCCAATGTATGCTTGGCCATTGGCACCATCTGCTGCCCACATGTCAGTGGCCACAGAGGAGAACAGTTGAACCTCGCAGTTTGAGGATGAATGGGCTACGACAAATGTCTAGGAAAACAACATACACTGATAATCACCCATCTCTGCAGGTCCACACTGTAACCCACACCAAGCCAACTGGCTCTACATTTATAGGCTGAGATGCTGAAATTTTCCAGCTGTAGTTGGCTCACGCTGGTGCACTGATGTCTGTGTATTTGCTTTCCCAAAGCCTGTCTCTGCTGTATAAATCTGATGCCTAGTCTAAAACCTAGTTACCATGTTTCATCAGTTCTAAAATGCACATGAAATTTGAGGTCCCAGTGTGGCTCAAGTGGTAGAGCCTCAGCCTTGAATAGAAAAGTCAAGCAAGAGTGAGAGGCAGAGTTCAAGCCCCAGTACTGGTACCCACAAACCAAACCAAACCAATCTACACACCATCAAGAGTCCTGACTATGAGAGTCAAGCTTACAAAAGATTCTTCTACTCACCTGGTAAAATCACTGATGCTTTTTGGTTGGGTTTCTTTCCACAGCGAATTCGGTATTCATTTATTGCATTTTCAATCTCTTGAAGCTTCTTGACTGCATCTGTGTAATCTTGCTTCCGTTTCTTCTTCACAGTTTTACAGAGGTCTGGCTCACTGGCAAGTTTCTTTGCAGCTTCTACCAACTTTTGCTGTATTAGAAAATTGCTCTCCAGTTCTTGTAAAGCCGGGTCCTGCATTTATGCAATAATATTGTGTTATTTTTTTATGGGTACATCAAGTCCCTCTCTCATGCTAATAAACATATTTTGTGCATTCTTGAGTAAGATGCACTTTGAGAAAAAAATTTTCCAAGGTTTTGTTTTGTTTTTTTGTAGTCGTGGGGCCTGAGCTCTGGGCCTGGGCACTGTCCCTCAGCTCTTCAGCTCAAGGTGAGCGTTCTACCACTTGAGCCACAGTGCCACTTCTGGCTTTTTCTGCTTTATGTGGTGCTGAGGAATCGAACCCAGGGCTTCATGCATGCAAGGTAAGCACTCTGTCACTGAGCCACCTTCCCAGCCCAAAATTTTCCAAGTTTTAATACAGAGACATCCTCCAATACTTTTCCAAGAAGACAATACAGGCTTCAGCCATCTTAACTTCATCTTGACAAGTATAACCTTTTTTCTCTTCAAGTAACTAAATGACCTTTCGTTCATTAGTTGAGTGAAGATCATTTTCAAAAAGATATTCTAACCCAGGACTCATGGATACAGAATATTATATTCATATGCAGAGCTTTATCTGTTTCTGTATTTCACTAGAGATAGATAATTTAGGTTTGATTCCTCTTTCTCATTGTTCCTGGTTGCATGGTTCTGTATTCCACTAATTAAGATCACTCTGTTAGGATTAGCTGTTGTTTTCTAAAGCTAAGATGATTTTGTTTCTACAAGAAATATTGGTAGGGTCATCTTGGCTGATGGCATGTATATGAGAAAGTACATTCTATCTTGCCTAACTTATCTTTACATTGAATTACATTGGATGCTATACATGTACTAACTCATTTAATACTCATTGCCTCCCTCAGAGGGAAATTCCACCAATATTCCCATTTTACAGAGGGTAAAATAGATACCTACAAAATGAAAAACTTTAAAGGGTTTAAACTATTTGCCAAAGGCTAGGTTTTTGGCTGTTATGATCATTTATAATAATATTATATGATAAAGTTATATTATTAATATTATATTAAGCTGGGCACTGGTGGCTTATGTCCATTATCCTAGCTACTCAGGAGGCTGAGATGTGAGGATCACAGTTTAAAGCCAGCATGGGCAGGAAGGTCTATGAAACTCTTATCTCGAATTAATCAGCACAAAGCTGGAAGTAGAACCCTGGCTCCAGAGGGTAAACCTTGAGCACAAATCCTCAGGAACAGTGCCCAGATCCTGAGTTCCAACCCCAGGACCCACACAATAATAGTATTTCCAGGCCAGGCAAGGCCCTGCTATGTAGCTCAAGCTGTCCTCCAACTTTGAATCCTCCTGCTTCAGCCTCCCAAGTTCTGCAGGAATCGAATGGGGAAGTTCTTAATTCTAATAGTACGAGCTCTCCATTTATAAATATTTAGAGTTTATTTAATGCTGCCTCTGATTCATGAAGTAAAGGCCATGCTAATGGGTAAGTGACTTAAAAACCAGAGACACAGTGTGAGGACACTCCTGGCTTCGCAGTCTGCTTCACAGAAAGGCTCAGGATGGGCACTCCTACCTCTTCAGTTGGCAGTAAATTGTCATCTAACTTGAACGCGGTGCCCACTCGCCTCCTGACCTGCGGGGGCTTCTCGCCTATGTTCAGCGGGTACTCCTTTGGCATTTTACCCGTGAGTTCCTGAAAAACAGGGTGGGGTCAAGGGTGGGTAAGTGACAGACCACAGCTGGCAACACCAGGGGACCAGCCAGGAGCCCAGGGCACTCACGGCCTCGCGCAAACAGATCTTCTTCAGCTCTTCCACTTTCTTCAGGAGTTTTTCTTGCAACAGCTTCTCCTTCTTTTTGAGTTCCAGGATTTTCTCCCGCTTTTGCTCCTCACTGGCTTCTGAGTCTTGAGAACCTAGATTCGGGGGGGGGGAAGGCAAGGGGGTGGGGGAGGGGAGTATCAACCAGCCGGCTTCCTTCCTTGAGAAGGACAAAGACCTGCCCAGCCAACCTGCTATGAAAAGCTAGTTTATTTCTTTTCTCCTTGTTTCTGAACATAATAAGAGGAAACCAGAGAACATTTTCTCAGGCTCTGGGCATCGGACCGAACCTGGTAAGAAAAATGTGCTTTTTGACTTGGTCATTTTGGAAGCGATGACAGAATGCTTCATGTTTCAGACACACCCAAGGAATAATTTCTTTTCTTTTTTAAGCAGGAGGAAAGTATGATGTACCTTGAGATAGCTGTCAACTATTCCTTTGAAAGGTAAGCAAAGGAATGTTCTGGACAGCTTCAGAAACCACACGCTAACAATGGGATGGTGAGGACGAATCATTTGGTAAGTTGACAAAGTGAGGAGAAAATCCACTAAGCACAACCCCAGGACTGCTAAGACAGAGACCTCACAGTCTCTACCGAGGGCAGGGCACAGTGATTATGGCTTTATGGCGTGTGCAGTCATGATCACGTTTGTGCAGCATTTTATATTATGGAATACTGGATGATTCTCTTATCAAAAACTATATAATGAAAACAAAATAAAACTGAACATTGGGAGAAGCTGATGGAATTGATGGGGAGAAAAATGTTCTTTGAGGGTGCTCCTAGTATTCAGTATATTTGCATTTTATGTTACTTATACAGTGTCACCATTTGTGATATAACTTCATACTTTTTTGGTTCATTATTATCTTTAAGGAGGTGTACGAAGGAGTTTCATTTAACAAAGCACTGGAAGAGGTGACACTGTTTAAAACAAAATGTACTCAATATCTGACTTACGTAACTGTAACCCCTCTGTACATCACCGTTACAATAATTTTTTAAAAAAGAAGTTTATGAATACAATGTATCTTGTATTCAAAGTTGTCGCTTCCTGTAGCTTCCCCCAAACTCCTTTGTTTTCCAAGCAATGGGTATATATGTATATGGGTGTGGGGAAACAAATGAAAAACCAGAAAACCACAAAATACCAAAATCTGTGGCCAGATGGCTAACACTTATAATCCTAGCTACTTAAGAGGCACAATCTAAGGACTGTGGTTCAAAGCCAGCTCAGATAGTCAAATGTGAAGATTTTTATCTCCAATTTATCACCAAAAGGCCAACAGTAGGGTTGTGGTTCAAGTGGTAGAGCACCAGCCTTGAGTCTAAAAAGCTAAGGGACAGCTTCCAGGCCCTGAGTTCAAGCCCTAGTGCCAGCACAAAAAATAAACCAAACCAAACACCAATAGATAAATAAATAAATAAATAAACCCACAACACCAAAGATGTCATATCCTTTTCAGTTTCGAGGATTTACCTGACGATATTAAGCTGCCATTGCTTGCCATGATGAACTGGCTTTTTGCTTCCAGTGTCATCAGTTTGGAGACCCTCTGTGTTCCCGTCTCTGTCAAATCCATTGCAATATCGTCTAAACTTCTGGCAGAAGGAATTTTTGCCTACAGAGCATATAGAATTAGCAAAACGAATCACATTTTACTATAATCCAAACATTAAGTTACTATACTGTGAAAATATCCACACAGAGGGCAATTCAAAATAATTATTAAGCTGATACCAGAAAACAAAACAAAACAAAACCCTTAAGCTCTGCATTTAAAATGTTTTGGTCACTATAACTGCTTTTCTCTCACGGCTTGGTTCAGTCACAGAGTTTAATGTCACCAGCAACACCATCAATGTCCATACATATGCATACCAGCGTCTGTCTTTTAAATAGATGAAGGAAACTTAAACAATTGCTAGTATAGATAAAAAAAAAAAACCAAAAAAAAAAACTTCAAAGGACAAAAATGCATGGGCTTGCATATTTGCTGAGAAAGTTCATCTCCTAAATAGCTACAAGACTGTGATCTGTTCCCCTATGCAAATGCTTCTAGTTACTTACTTTGCTTTGCTTCCGATCCAGGTAGAACTGATGCTGACTAATAGCCATCACCCAGATGGACTTGATCAGAGAAGAGTTTGCATACCACGTTTGCACATACAGGCCACTTTGCCCAAAGGTCCTCCGAGACACTGAAATCCTAGAACATGAAGGAAAGCAGTTGAATCCATTGCTGTGGACCAGTAAGGACAGTGTTATTACGGGCACCTTCCTCTTCACTGACTCTGCTGGTCACTAGGGGGCTGACCAGGTCTTGATTTTCCCCTTTTTATGACAAAACTACTGAGGATCTAGGCAATCTAAGCATATTTTCAAAACCACGAATGCACACACTGAAAAGCAGAACAGGCATCAGTCAAATGAGAGGCTCCAGAAAATCCTTCAGTTAGAAACGCAGGACCACCACAAGAGGTGAAGGACAGGTGATGATTTAAATGTCTTTAAATCATGACTGAGGCTCAAGGGCCTGCCTCCATTGAAGAAAGAGCTTGTCTGATCTAGGTGACCAAATCTACCCAGGAGATGAATATAACATTAGGAGATGAATACAATGATATCAGCTGGAAATGTCTTAGGCTAGAGTATTATTTGTGCATCCATACAATAAGGAAGGTAAGAGGAAGAAAGAGAGAAGAAGAGAGGAAAGAGAAGGAGAGAGAGGAAGAGAGAGAGGAGGTTGGGTACAGAGGAAGGCTGTGTGTGTGTGTGTGTGTGTGTGTGTGTGTGTGTGTGTGTGTGTGTGTGAAGGGGGGGAGGGGGTACTAATGTTCTTCATCGGAATTTGGCTTATCTCCCTGGGTCACCGTTTTTCTTTTCTGCAGCTGTTTCCTCCCATCTCTCTAACCTCCAAAACATCCATAAACTTTATCTTAAGAGCTTGGGGAACCTACATCCTGATTTTCATTCACGCTGATAATTTGACAACTGTTTTTATTTTTTTAAGGACTAAATTAAGAAATGATCACAGGATTTGAATTGATATTTCTCTTAAGTTCTACACATGGGCTGATAAACTCATGAAGAGAGGCTCTGTTCCTCATTAATCCTAAGGGAAATGCAGACAAGTTAAACCAGGAGAAAACCATTTCACACTACAATGATGTCTTTAACACACATGTGCAAGCACATACGTGTGCACACATAGCAAGTGGTAGTGAGGTGTGGAGAAATTGGAACCTCCTATATTGCTGGTATGGATGCAAAGTGGCCCAGTGCTTTGGAGAAAGTCTATCCCCCTGGAGGTATTGAAAAGTTACCCTATCACTCTACAATTCTAAGGTATAGCCTCAAGAAAAAGAAAAGCATGCATTCATACAAAAACCACAGCAGTGTTATCCACAGGGAGCCTGGGACCAGACAAAAATTTCTGATTTTTACCTTCGTGGATCATGAACTTCAACAGCGAATTTTTTCTCACGGAAATATAAATTCTCCAGTTGCTTCCATTGAAATAACTAAAAGAAGAAGAAGAAAAAAGAAAAGTCACACAGCCAGTAATTACTCTTAGTTTTACAGTGTCCTGAAATCAGCTTAATAAGCAAAGTGATTTTAAGTTCTCAGGAATGTATGCTGATAAAGTTAAGCCCAAATAAATGATTCATCAACATTTTTTTTTAAACCCAAATCAACCACAACCTGAAACCATTTTATTCCTTCCTCTGACAGTAAATTGTACCTACTCAGCTTCACCTGATAAATCTCCCCAGCACAATAAAACCAAGCATGGGAACACGCATACTATTTTTTCCTCTGACTCAAGGAAACAATAGGAAACCTGCCTAAGATTCCAGTAAGCAAGTAACCTTCTTCTTAGAGATGCTGACTTCCTTTGTGAATGGAAAGATACCGGATGGAGTGTCTTGAAGATCAGAATGACTTTAAGATCGCAGATTAAATTTCAGAAGAATTTGCGAAGTGAAAGTAAAAGAGAAATCCGCCCTCTTCCCCTCTCTCTCCCCCTCCTTCCCCTCCCCTCCCCTGTCCCCCACTTCCCAGGCAGACTGGTAGTGGCGCTCAGACTGGTAGTTTCTCACCTAGCAGAATTTCCCTAAATCTCACAGAAGCTGAGCCCCAGGAACTGGTGGCACGCCATCTGACCCAAGCCTGCTGGAGGTCTCCCGTGCGCTCCAGGGCGCGCGCCCCCTTCCCACGGCGAGGAGGCATGGGCGGGCAGGGGGAGCGCGGACACCGGGCTCGGGCTGCACGTTCCGGTGATGGCCGAGGAATCTTAACGAGAACGTTTTAAATGGACCCCCCCCCCCCACCCCAATAACCAGCGGTTCGCGTCCCCGCGACGCACTCTCCGCAGAAGATCGGAGAGGAGACTTTGCACCACCCTGCGACCCTCGCAGAGATCAGCAGAACCGGAGCTTCACAGTCTCCATCCAAGCGCAGCCGTGGGACCCCCGGCAGGAAAATCAGCCGCAACCCACCGACACGGGCGCTGTCTGACCGCAACACTGGGCTGTCCCTGACCCCCAACCCTTCCCCAGGCGTTCAAGGAGGAGTGAGCGCAAGCTTACGTCTACGTACCCGTGTCCCACTGTGTCCGGGGGCTCGAGGTGGTCATTTCCTTCCATCCATAAGTTCCCAAAGTAGGGGGACAGAAAGAAGAGGGCAAGCCCCAGCGCTGTCTACACCCCCCACCACACACACACCACACACACACACCCTGCTTCCGACGGCAGCTCCGGTGCTTTTGGAACTGAGTTTCATAAGACTAGGTGTAACTTCGTTTCACAAGCCATGCCTCCCACGACAGGTCCGCCCCTGACATCAGCAAGTCCGCCGGCCACACCCCCAGCTCCTCCGGCCTCCCATCCGGGAGGACGGCAGAGGGCTGGCTCCTTTTTCCCCCCCAGAAGAGAGACTTCTGGGGCTGGGCCTGGGGTGATTCCTTCTGGGAAATCCGCCACTTGCAGCCCACCAGTCTCACGGCTGGCTGTTTTAGGAAAATCTTTTTTTTTTCTTTCATGCCCAGGTCTGCTTACCCAGCACATGAACAGGTTCTACAGGAAGAGCAAGAATGCAGCTCAGCTGTGTTTTCCTTCTCGGGCCATTCCCACACACCACAGAAAAGCCAGGGTTCTGCTGGAAACTTGATCCCTGAAAGCCACCCCTCCCCCTCCCGTCACTCGATCAAATACCGGTGCGAAAGCACTGTCTCCACTCGGGGTGCAGCCCACGTGGAGGACAGACACGCTCCCTGTGATCCAAAGCAGCCCTGCTGAGGAGGATGTAGGGCTTACACTCCTTTGGAGAACTTTAAAATAATTAGGTATTTAGCTAATCAGGCCAGACTGATTTGGGAGGGGAACTTGCACTAGAGAAGTAGTTTATCACCCCATACAGTAAGGTATACCCTAAGTCAGCTGAAAAGCTAAAGGAGGCTGCAAGGAAAACATCTGTGTTTGAGGGGCGAGATCTATGTTCAAAGGACTTGAGAGAAGCAAAGTATGCTTTATAGTTTCTACATTTTCTATTAGTTGGAGAACAGTTATGTAGGATATGGCATCTTATAGGTCACTGATAGTATATATTTATGTGCATACCCACAAACACCCTCGTAATTTTCCTAGTTATACAGAAAAATAAGCCTGGTGCCCGTGGTATGCATTTGTAATCCTAGCTACTCAAGGAAGCTGAGTGTCATGGTTCAAAACCAGACCAGGCAGAAGTCTGTGAGGTTCTTATCTCCAACTAAATTCCAAAAAGCCAGAAGTGGAGGTATGGTTCAAGTTGGTAAAATCACCAGTGCAAAGAGGAAAAGCTAAAGGATAGCACCCAGGCCCTGAGTTCAAGCCCTTGTACTGGCCTGTTTTTCCCCCAACCCCTAGTTCCTATTCTTGAGGATTAAAAAAAAAAGGGCATATTTTGGCAAGGGATGGCATTGATCAAAGTACACTGTAATCAGAGATTGACACGTTGAATTGAAACCCCTTTGTACAATACTAAAAGATAATTTAAAAAACTAGAAAATAAAAAGTGTATTTGTATTACAATACTGTGTCAAGTATGAAACCAAAATATTTGCCAAAATGGTCATTACTTAGCATAGTAGCAATCGTTCGTTGGTATTTATTTGTTTATTTTTATGTGGATTCACTAAAAGCTTTGAGTTTGAGAATCTGTTGGTTTTAGAATATGCTGCTAGTGACAGAGGGGAATAGTTTTAAGATAAAAATAAGACAATTAGCTGTTCCAGATTTATTTCTTCGCTACATTCATTTGAAACCTTCAGTTGAGATGGATGGACACAGAGTAAGAGAATGCAGCCATCTTGGATTACTTTGACATTGCAAAAGTAAATAAGCAGATAAAATAGAAAAAGGGAGAGAAACAACACAAATACTATTTACAGAAATAATCAAGAAATTACACTAGGAAAAAAATAGTTGTAAGGTGATTAATCTTGTCTTAAAACAATGACAAGCTAAGAAATTTAAAACCAGCATAGAAGATTATCAAACCCTATTTTTAAAATTAGTCTGCATTAGTTGCACATGGGAGATGTCATTGTACCATTTCCATACATGTAAATATATATGTATACATATGTATATGGATATATGTATATACCCCAGTCACGCACACCTCCTCTATCACTTTCCCCTATCCTACTCATCTTTCTTAAAACAATTTCAACTATTTAAACCATATTCATCCTCATTCATTCTCTTCTTTAGCTGTCCTTCTTCTGGTTGGTACTTACTTCCTAAGACAGCCTATCAAACCTTGTTTTGAAAGTGAATGTGTATGAAATATTACACAGGAATAAAAAATTTCCCTTTATCCTTAGGAGTGAGAGGAGCTGATGGCTTTAAAATGGTTTACCAAACACAATACTTTATTAGGTGGAATGGATGTGCTAAATATTTAAGCCCTATTGTGGAAACCTACAGTCAATATTCACTTGCACAAACTGAAGAACTATTAGGAATTGCCTCTTCCTTATTCTCCACTTCATTATCATGGTGCCTCAATATCCAACCTACTGTCAAACCTAAAAGAAACAACCCTGTGAGAAAGAGCAAAGGGACTTTTAGAAAACAGGCTTAAATGCATACTATTAACTTCTGAAATCATTGCTTTTCTTTTTTTTCTTTTTGGTCAGTCATGGGGTTTGAACTCAGAGTGTGGGTGCTATTCCTGAGTTTTTCTGCTCAAAGCTAGTGCTCTAGCACTTTGAGTCATAGCTCTATTTCTGAATTTTGGGTTAATTGGAGATTAGAGCCTCATGGACTTTCCTGCCTGGGCTGGCTTTGAACAGTGATCCTTAGATCTCAGCTTCCTACGTAGCTACGATTACTGGCATGAGCCACCAACCAGCACTTGGCTTGAAACCATTCCTTTTCCAACAACAAACATTTCTTGAGCACCCTCAGTGGGCAAGGTCCTCTTCCTGTTGTCAAATCATGAATAGGTCCTTCTTCCTTCCTCCAGCCCTCCCTTGTAAGGCCCACATGAATCGAGTCAAGGAGACCAGATTGCCTAGGATTGGATCAGGTTGTGCTATTTGGGCAGTTGCTTAACTCCCTTGAGCCTCACTTTCATCTTCTACAAAATGGACCAACAATAGCTGTATCCCAGGACAGAAATATTCAGTGAGACAAAAAATAAAATGCCTAGGAATTAACTTAACCAAAGAAGTGAAGCACCTCTATGATGAAAACTTTAAAAACCTGAAAAAGGAAATCAAAACAGAACTTAGAAAGTGGAAAAACCTCCCATGCTCCCGGATTGGAAGGATCGACGTTGTGAAAATGGCAATACTTCCCAAAGCTATCTACAAATTCAATGCGATACCTATCAATATTCCAACCTCATTCTTCAAGGAAATAGAAGAGGCAATCCAAAAATTCATAGGGAACAATAAATGACCCCGAATAGCAAAAACAATCCTTAACAGAAAGAACAGTGCTGGAGGAATACCAATACCAAATTTCAAACTCTACTCCAAAGCCATAGTAATCAAAACAGCTTGGTACTGGCACAAGAACAGACCTGAGGACCAATGGAATAGAATTGAACACCCAGAAATGAACCCACAGACCTATAGCTATCTAATCTTCGATAAGGGAGCTAAAAAAATAGAATGGAAGAAAGACAGCCTCTTCAGTAAATGGTGCTGGCAAAATTAGTTAATCACTTGTAGAAAACTAAAGCTAGATCCTTATATATCAGCCTGCACCAGAATCAACTCCAAGTGGATCAAAGACCTCGGGGTCAAAGCAGACACTCTGAAAACATTACAGGATGGAATAGGAGAAACCCTAGGTCTCCTTGGCTCAGGCCGAAATTTTCTTAATAGAGACCCAGAAACACAACAAATCAAAGAAAGGTTGGACAAATGAGATTGCATGAAATTGCAGAGCTTCTGCATGGCAAAGGACATAGCTAGCAAGATCAACAGAAAGCCCACGGATTGGGAGAAGATCTTCACTAACCATACACC